TCCTCCCAGGGCACCCTGGGCTGTGCTCTCCGCCCTGGGCCCAGCACACAAAGCACCCGGTCGCCCCGTCTGGCTCGTTCCCTGGGGTGAGCCGCAGACCGTCTCCGGGGGGTCCCGGTGGCGTGTTGGCAAGGGCCCTGGACGGGGACTGGGGGGCCCGAGCTCACGTTTCATTCCAGCGTTTGGTGGTCCCAGGGCGCCCCCGAGCCTGGGCGTTGTGCTCCGGAAAGGGGTCATCACAGTGGCTCCCCAGCCAGGCAGCGTGGCGATGCGTGACAGCCGGGCACGGGGTCCCACATGTCCGTGCAGATGAGAGGAGACACGCTCACACACACACTGCGCACGGATGTTCGCCGCAGCCCACGGCCGCTGCCGGAGGCAGGCGAGCGGAGCACGGCCTGCACGCCCTGGGGCGTTGCTCTGTCACACACGGGGCCCCGCGCCGTGTGGCTCCGCTCATGCGAAGCGTCCGGCCCAGGCAGACCCCCAGGGACAGCGGGCGGGTGAGTGGTCCCCAGGCTGCGCGTGGGCTGCGGTGGGGCCGGGAGAGGACTGCTGACGTGCGCGGCATTGGGGAGGTGACGAAGAGGCTCTACCATCAGACGAGGGTGATAGGTGCACAGTTCTGCCTGTGCTAAAGACCACTGAGTCGCACGCTTCGCACGGTGACCTGTACGACATGCAATTACACGTCAGGAACTGGGTTCCTGACTGTGACCGGACAACTCTGTCCCCCCCCCCAGTCTCCACGGCCTCGACCCCCTCTCTGAACAGGGGAGGCAGTGACCATGTTTCTCTTCTTGCGGGGCAAGGGCACAGCTTGTTGGGTGGGAAGGAGTCAAGGAGGTATCAAAGTGTCACATGACCTCCCTGCCTCGACTTCCCCGTCTGCCCTTCTGCCCTGGGAGCAGGTGTGGGAGGGCCGGGGAGGGAAGGGCGAGCGGGCGGCCAGAACGAGGTGGGCAGTGTCAGGGGCCTGAGCCCTGAGTCTGTGCCGTCCGGGAGCCAGGTCTGTGGGCGGCGGCGGGGCGGCAGGCAGCTCGCACGGAGACCCTGTTTGGCTGCTGTCAGGGCGAGAGAAGCCCAGAAAGCCATGGCTGGCGCCCGTACACGGGGGGCAGGGTGAGGGCTGGCTGGGCTGCGGGCGGGTGGAGAGAGCAGACTGCAGGCCTCGGGTCGGGTGGGGGCGGGGCGGGGCGGGAAGGGAAGGGCTTGGGTGGGCGGGGCTTGGACGCGTGCAGGGCTCCTACGCCAAGTCCGCTAGCCCTCTGTCCAGCTAGCCTTAGTTAAGCCACCAGGGCCTTGACCAGCCGGGTCTGTTCTCAGCTTCTCCTCCCCCTGATGCAGCCCCTCCCTCAGGGTGTGAACCTGCTCAGATCTGCTGCCTGCAGCCACCCTCTCTTCTGCAGCTACCAGCCCACCTCCTGCTCTCTTCCCCGCCAAGCTCTTCAACGCCTGGTCTGCGCCATGGTCCTGTTTCCCTTCCTGCCCAGCATTCACCCCCTTCTCCTCCGAGTCCCCACGGCCCCCTTGGGTGGCTCACGGCGGCTCCCCAGCCCCGGGGCCCCTCAGCACCCCATCCCTGCCCGGCGGTGTCCCCCGGGGCCCCGCCCCCTCACCCCATCCGGGAGCGACCTCCTTACCCCACATCAGCCTTTCTCAGGGGCCCTCTGCGCCCCCTTCCCTGGGGCTGCTGCTCTCCAGGGCTGAGGGGCCCGGGAGTCCCTACAACCCCTGTCCTCCCACCCTCGCCCTCCCGGAGTTTCCTTCTGTGCTGGCCTTGTCGTCTTCCCCGGGCAAGCCCGCTGCCGCCTCTGACGGCCCCTCCTGCTGCTCCCGGTTTGCCCGCTCCGCACGGGACCCAAGCATCTCGCCAGGGCGCCTCTCAGCTCCTTCAGGCCCCTGTTCGATGCCCTCCCCGCTCCCCTCACCAGCGGAGCCGACCCTGTGGCGGCAACCGGAACAGCACGCACAAGCAGGTAACGCGGTTTGGGGAACCGAGGCCCAGAGAGATGCCGCGGGTCATCCGGGCTCACCCCCTGCCAGAGCGGGGAGTCCGGGCTCCTGGCTTCAATTGGGTCCGAGGCCCAGTCCAGCCTCTCACCTCCTGGCAGTCCCAGCAGCTCCTGGCTGTCACCCTGTGGCCAGCGCCCAGCCCTGCCCAGAGTCCGATCTCTGGCTCAGCCTGTGGTTCTTCCTGTCGCCCACAAAACCCTGCTCCAGCCACCAGCCCTTCCTCTCCACACACGTGGCTTCCCGCCCCTGCCCAGGGCCCGCCCCAGCCTGTGCCGGGGCGGCACACGGCCTCCCGTGTCCGTGGCGCCCGGGCCACAGCAGCAGGCGCAGAGCGATCCCGAGCAGGCTCCACGCAGCCTTGCCCTCCATCCCACACAGCGCGTTCCTGGAAGGGACCCGTGCACAGTGCCACTTCCACAGCAGGACCCTAGCAGATGCCACTGCATGGGCACATGCATGGGGCTGCTCCCCCAGCCCCCCAGGAACTCAGGCCAGTGGATTCCACGGCTCCAGCCACCCCAAGAAAAACACGACACGTCTGGGGAGTCTCAGCTCTCGGCCCCTCACCTATGACAAGGGACTAAGAGCATCTGCCTCCCGGGGGTGTGGCGGGAGTTAGATGGGAAGCTGTCCTTGCCCCCGAGCTGCTCCGGGTGCAGCAGCCCGAGGCCGGAGGAGCGAGGGCCACCTCGCCAAGCGCTGCGTTTGAAGGGCTGGGCGCGGCCCCCCTCCGACGTCCGTGTCCCCGCCCCCGCACCAGGCTCTGCCGCCCAGTCACCCATGGGTCGGAGCAGGGGTGTTGCCTCTCTGGATCTCAGTTCCCTTATTTGTACAGTGGATGGATTAGCTTGAGGCTCAAAATTTCAAGTTTCTAAAGCTGCAGAACTAATAGAATCTCGTGTTCAAATAAACTCTCGTACCAAGAAGCCGTGTGTGGAGTGAGTGCGTCAAAGCAGAGCTGCTCTGGCTAAAGGAGGGGGGCATGTCTGAGCCCCCAGGACCGGGCCCCTCCTCCCAGCCTCCACCGCCGCCCCCCGACTGCTCTCCGCGCCCACAGCACCGAACCCCCGTCCTCGGGCGTCAGTGCCCGCCGTGTGGGGCCCTTCCAAGTGCAGCCAGGGGAGTGCTCCTGGGTGGGGCTGGGATAGATGTCTCCTGCCTGTGCCCGGGGCCCAGCTCACTGTCGGTGAAGGGGCTCGGCACCCGCGTGTTGGCCAGAGTGAATGGGTGGACGAGGGAAGCAAAGATGATGTTGAGAAGGACGTGGGAGCAGCACACTCCCATAAGGGTTTGGAAACACTCTGCCCGCCTGGAGAGACCTGGACCAGCCCTCTCCCTGCCCCGCCCCCACGCACAGGCACGGAGGGGAGTAGTCCGCCTGGGTCTCCCTCCCACTCACCAGCCTCTCCCCCACAGGAGGCTCTGACGCAGGAGAGGGGAAGAGGGGGAGGGATGGCGAAGAGGCAGACCTAGATTACAGCCTGGAAAGGGGGGGCTCCAAGGAAGCCACTGCAATGGGGCGGGGGGGGGCTTGGCCTGGCAGGAGGGACCTTGGGGGAAAGGCCAGGGGCTTCCTTGCCATGGTAGATCTTTTTCTTTCCATCTGCCTGCCCTTGACCAGCCCTGGTCCTCCGCCTCCCCCACTGCCCCCGCCCCCCCTTGAACACGGCCCAGAGAAACGCAGAAGAACAACACAGGGACCAAAATAACCCCCCGCCTGCTGGAAGGGGGAAGAGGAGAACCGTAAAACTTCCTCTCCTCCCCAGGCCTCCCGGGAGGCTGAGCGGAGCCTTGATACCCCTTCCTGCTGGTTCCCAGAGGTGTCGCCCCTTCCTGACGGGGCCGGCTCTGGGTTGTCCAGGAGGCCTGGTCCTGGCACACAGGCAGGGGACGGTGGGGGTGGGGGTGGGAGAAGGGATGAGGGCTTCGGTTTACTTCACCTAGAACCGAGGAACAGACAAATCACCTGCAGGTAGTATGCAAAGGTATCTACTCCCTGTCAGCTGGGGGTGGGAGTGTGGGGGGAGGGTGCCCTCCGGAGGTGAAGGGTGAGCCAGTCACCCCCCTGCGCCAGCCCAGGCCTGCCCGGGTCTTTGTGGGTGTTTCTGACGGCTGGATGAGCCCCAGTTAGGAAGCTGCGTGAAAGCCAAGAGAAAGCCTTGACCACGGAAGAGCTCGGGCCAAGGAAAGCGCAGAGAGTGGAGGGATGGACGCAAAGGCTCTCGCTGCGGGGGGCGTGGCTGCCCCCGGCGCTGAGGACGCCATGAGAAGCCTGGGGAAGAGTCCGTTGCTGCAGCTGGACCCAGGCAAGGACTGGGACATCGCTGTCTGTGGCAGAAATGAAAGTTACCTGCCCCCTGCCACCACCCCAGGAAGGTTCAGAGAAGACCCCCTCCTCTGGGCAGAACTCTCCGGGGTCCTGAGAGGCAGGACCGCACCTCAGGGCAGAGCCTCAGGTGGCTGGCGTGGCTGCAGGTGTGGGGTCGCCCGCCTGACTCTGCTGTCTCAGGGCCCTTTCCCACCGTCCATGTGGTTTTCTCAGGGTGGGGTGTCTGCAAAGCACCTGTTCTGAGTGAGGGTCTGCGGAGGTGAGGGGCGGATACCGGTAGGTGGCACTGGGCCAGCTGACCAGAACCCGCAGCCAAGGAGAGAATCTGGGTCGGGCAAAGCAGCGAGCGCGCGGTTCAGGGCTCCGTTAGGATTTACTGTGCACCTGCTTCCCCGCCCAGCCTCGCTCTTTACACCGCCAGCGGACCGGGCTGTGCGAGGCAACCCAGAGAGAGGCCCCCGAGGCGGGACAGGATGGAGCCGATCGGGGGAGCGAGGCGTCCTCTCGGAGCCTCGGTGCGCCCATCTGTGAAATGGAAATCACCAACAGGCAGTTCTGAGAGCTGGGAAGGGATGCGGCGACTCGGGAGCGCGCCTGCAGCGCGGGTGCGGAAGGACGCCAGGCCCTGAGCGCGCGCGGGCGGGAGAGGCCAGGAGAGCGGGTCTCGGACGGAGGCGCGGGGTGCGGGAAGTCAGAAAGAGCCCCGAGGGGGTGCTGCGCGGCTGGCGAAGCGGTCGCCTCCCGGGCACCCTGCGTCGAGAAGGGAGAGTGGACGCAGGGAGGCTGCACCTCTGTCCACTCCCGAGGCTGGATTCACACCGGGGACCCTACGGAAAGCTCCCATTTCCCAGCTTTTCTCACCCAGAATCCCTCCCTTTGTTTAGCGTAGGTAGGGGCGGGGAGAAGGCGGAGGGCGAGGAGGGAGGGCCTGCGGTGCACCGCCCCCGCCCCCCGGTGTGCGCAGCCCTGTGCAGCTCAGCTCCCGCGCTGGGGGCGCCCGAGGCGAGTCCGCCCGCCCCATCCCCGGACCAGGCTCGCTGGCTCTGGGTGCTCGGGCACCCACGAACTGGCGGCACTGAAGGCGTCGGGCTGGGGCGGGGCGCTTTTGGACGGACCCGCTCAGGTGGCTGTGAGTTCTGCCAGCTTTGGTGACCTTGGGTAGGTCTGTGTTTCCGTCCGCCCCAGGGGTCCCCCAGGGAGACGCAGGAGAGGGTTGAAAACGGCGACTAGAAAGCCCCTTTCTAGAAGCAGGAGTGGGCGAGGGTCCCCGGTAGAGCCGGAGCGGGGCGCCGGGCGCGGCTGGGAGGCTGGCGCTCAGCGGCGAGGGTGGGTGGGCGCGCGCTGGGGAAAGGGGACCGCGCGCCACTGCGGATGCCGGGCTCGGTTCCCCAGACTAGCGTCGGTCAGCTCCGTTCCAGGTGCGGAGTAGGGCGCTACCTCTTTAAAAGCGTCCGGGGCCCAGCCTCCGCGCACCATGTGATTGCTCGAAAGGCCGGGGTTGCGGCGGAGCCGGAGGACGATGAGCGGTGCTAAGGCTGCGCGGAGCCAGCCCTGCCCCGCGCGGCCCGCAGCTCCTGGCGGCACCAGGTGTCCCCAACTTTGGGCACCGCCTCTGGGACCCCCTGGTGGCCAACAGGCAGGCTAGTGAGCTCCTGGTATTCTGTTCTGTGGGCTTAGGTGGGCAGAGGCAGGCATGGGGGACCCCCGTAGGGTGTGTGCGGGGAGCTGCCTCACACCTGATAAAACAAAAAAGCCAGGGGAGGACCCAGCACTGTTATCTTGAGTTGCTGAGTGGAACCTCCAGGGGTGACAGGGGAGGGACAGAGATTAGGCCGAGAAGGGCAGAGGCGTCTTGCCAGCCCAGGCAGGCGCCGGCTGTGCCAAGTGGGGCTCATCTCCAGAGGGAGGGGGCCCCCCAGCCCTGGCCCTCAGACGGGCAGACCTCCCACCGCGCGCCTCCCGACCCCAGGTGCGCCGCTGACGCGCCTCGCCTGCCATGCCGCCCTCCGTCTCGGGCTTCCAGGCCGCCTACATCAGCGTGGAGGTGCTCATCGCCCTGGTCTCCGTGCCGGGGAACGTGCTGGTGATCTGGGCGGTGAAGGTGAACCAGGCGCTGCGGGACGCCACCTTCTGCTTCATCGCGTCGCTGGCCGTGGCCGACGTGGCCGTGGGGGCTCTGGTCATCCCACTCGCCATCCTCATCAACATCGGGCCGCAGACCTACTTCCACACCTGCCTCATGGTCGCCTGCCCCGTGCTCATCCTCACTCAGAGCTCCATCCTGGCCCTGCTGGCCATCGCTGTGGACCGCTACCTTCGCGTCAAGATCCCGCTCCGGTGAGTCAGCTGCAGCGGGAGGTGCCGGCCACGCCCATGCCGGGCGGTGTGAGGGCCGTCCTGGGAGGCTGGCAGGTGGAGCACAGGGCCCCGTAAGCCAGATGTCCTCTGGGCCATTGTGCCCCAGTCTGCACTCTGTCCTTGCCCTCTGCTTTGCAGTGCCAGGCTGAGCTGTCGTCGAGGCAGGAGGGTGCTGGGTGGCTGGGGGAGTGCCAGCCTGGCGGTGCCCAGGACCCCGAGCTATGCTGCTGCTGTTCTCTGGACACAGCCAGCTGTCCGGCCTGGAGTGAGGGATTGGAGGGGCCAGCAGGAGTCCCAGTGAGCACTGGGCAGGACGAGCAGAGCCCACCAGTCTCGGGGGAGTGGAGGGGGCAGCAGGCTGCCAGGGGGCGGTGAGCGTGTGTGGAGGGTGGCCCACCAGGAGCCGGAGGGCTGCTCCTCCAGCCAGACAGGGTGGCCCTGCCACAGACACTCGTACATCTGCCCGGCACCCGCACCGGCAGCTCTGTGGCAGCAGGAGGAGGGGCAAGTGCGGCACCTTCTCTCGACCATCCTGCTCGGGCACAAAACCGTGCATGTCTTTGCTGGCCACCACACAGGGACTCAGGCTGTGTCCAGGCAGCACCAGGGTGGGTGGCCTCGTGGTGACTGTCTCCTTGAGAGAGCTAGTGCCCAGGGGCTCCTTCCCCAGGGTCTCCTTCCCCAGGGCTCCCAGGGCTCCCAGGGCACCGTCGCAGCACCAGGCAGGGCCTGGGCGCCCTGCCAGCCGGCCCTGCTGGGACACCCCGAGAGGCCCCTCCGTGCGGCCTGGGGGCTGCGGCCGGCTCTGGCACCTGCTGTCCCTGCAGCAGCCTCTATATCTGGGACGTGGGGCCTGTGGCCTTACTTGGCAACTTGCCCGGGCAGGCCCAGCCGCCCATGTTTCTCCCGTTTGCACTGAGTTTGTGCAACTTTGGGAAGCTTTTCTCATGTATCTTTTTTCCTGTTCTTACCATGCTCCTGTCAGGAAGCTGCCGTGGGAGCAGGTAAAGGGAAAACTCAGACCCAGGGTGTCCCCTGACGGCGGTCGGGAGCAGAGCCTCCAGGTTTCCCAGGGCAGGCAGCCTGGACACCCAGGACGCTCGGCCCCATGGGGCCCTCGAGCCGCCCTGGGTCCCAGATCCGGTGGGCCGTGCGGGAGACACTGGCTGCAGCCCACTCCGGTGGCTGGGCCTCTGCTGACCACGCGCAGAGCCGCCACCTTGGGAGGCTCACACAGACGGGCCGGTGCAGGCAGCTGCTTAGGAATTCCGGCTGGAGAGGGTGTCAGGGTGAGCAGGAGCCTGGTCCTGCTGTGACGGAGGTGGGGCCTGCCCTGCCTGCCCTGCCTGCCCTGTGAGGTGGCAGCAGCTGCTGAGCTGTGGCCCCGAGGGTCAGCTTGTGTGCTACAGGCCTCTGTGCACCTGGGAGTGGGGCTGGGCTGCCTTCTGAGGGTGGCAGCGGCGGCACGGAGGCTGAGCGTGCAGGCCTGGGTCCCCGGCCCTGTGGGGCGTTTCTGGCTGTGTGACCTCAGAAATTCGCTCATTCACCTCATCCACTGAAGGGGACGTGGGCACCGTCCCTTCTCCCTGGGATGCCTGGGAGGACATACAGTGGGTAGTCTGTGTCGGGCACGTGTGTGTGAGCCGCACGCGGCAGGTTCACATTTGCCGTCTCATCACGGTTGACATAAGCCAAAGTAGGCGAGTGCGGCCCCCACCCACGCATGCCCCCACCCCGAGTTCCCAGGGAGGCGTCCAGGCACCGTGGGCTGGTCGGCAGTGCCTGAGGAACAGCTCTGGCGTCCTGTCTGTGCTGCCGTTGGCACAGAAAGCCTGGCGTGGCGTCGGGCCTGCAACAGGCACTCAGCTACCGGGGACTGAACTAGCTGGACGTCCAGAGCTCACCTGGTTGAGCCTCAGGCAGGCCTCCCAGACGCCGACCCTCTGATTCACCGTCTCGCTGTGGCCGGGCCCTCCCTGCTCCCGGGCCCCCCAGCAGCCCAGGCCCCAGGGCCTGGAGGGCCCCGCTCCCAAGCTGGGCTCCTGGGTGGAGGAGGGGCTGAGGTGGCAGGCCACTCCAGGCCCTGACTGTCACACTCCCCACGGGCCCCCTGGAGTCACAGGGCTGCTGGGTCTGGGGGACACCTCTCAGCTCGGGGGCCCCGGCACTCCGAGCCAGCCAGCGGTGAACGAGGCCCCGGGCAGCAGGGAGGAATCCAGAACAAGCGTCGGCAGGTGTGTCCCTGCCGCTGCTGACGTGTCCGCTGGACCCCTCACCGAGCGAGGCACGGTTTGGTCAGTCAACCACAAATTTTACTTCCTTCCACTTGGCAGGAAGACCAGGGAGAAGACAGGTTCGCAGCGTGCATTGCGATCCAGTTACCAAGAGAGAAAAAGCCTCAAATGGTTGATCCATCAATGACCCGTGGTCATTTACATGTGCTTTGCATGCCATTTGCATAACACCTTCACTTGTTTGGCAACTGATGCCCCGTTCCTCTCAGCTCTCACTTCTGGGAACCCCTCCCCCCACATTCATCTCAGCACCCCCCACCCCCCTGGGGGCTGCCCCCGCAGAGGAGGCTGGCAGGACTCCCTGAGCAGCAAAGCCCTGTCTGTGGGCAGGAGACCTGGTAGGTGGGGTGGGGTGGGGTGAGGGGAGGGGGGTGTGTGGGAGTCAGCTCGACCCGAGTTTCAACCTGGCGCTGTCGCTGACTGCCCGTCACCTTGGATGCTGCGGCATTCACCGCTGCGCCCGTCCCCGGCCCCCGGCCGGCTCTCCAAGGCTCCTGTCAGCCCCAAGGCTCTCCCGTGCCATTGCCCCGGACAGCGCTGTGCTGAGATCTCGGTGAAGCTGTCTGTGCTGTTTTTAGCCCCTGGCGTGGAGAACGGCGCGAGGCTGAGATTTTAGCTGCTGTGTCTCTGGGCTTGTCGCCTGTCACCAGCGGAGACCACTGCCAGCCCCTTCCCGCAGGCACTTTTCTGGGTGAACTGAGGTCCAGGGCTCCAGGAGGTTCAGCGATTTGCCCAGACGAACATCTTGTCAGGAGAAGAGGCCGGGTGTGAATCGAGGCCAGGCGCCCCTGGCCAGTGAGCCCACGTGTGGCCTGAACCAGCCCTGGGAGCTGCAGGGCTCGTGGGGGGGCTGTCGGCGGGGCGGCCTCTCTCCTCTGACCCGGGCCTGCGTCCCCTGCCTCCACTCGGCCCACACGCTCCTCCACTCCCTCCTCACCTTCACCCCAGTGGGCAGAGGGGCCCCGGCAGCCTCGCCTCTGTCCACAGCTGGAAGCCTGCCCAGCTGGGCTGCTGACCGGGAAGCACAGCCAGGAGCAGAGGCCGGCCTGCTGGACCCGGCTCAGGCAGACGAGAATTCTGGTAGATGAGGGTGTGTTCCCTCTCAGACACGAAGACTTCAGCCCCCCGCCCTCCCCACTCACTAGCTTGGCTTTTCTGGACAGTTAAAGAGGTCTGTACTTGTACCCCCGCCCACCCGCAACCAGCCACCGTCTGTGGCCTCAGGGTCTCAGGTCCCGGCCTCTGCTTTCAGAGGACTGAAGCATCCCCTTGCCTGGGCAAGGGTGGAGCCACTGCGAGCAGCCCTGCCGTCCAGCCCCCTCCCCTGCAGAAGGGGAAGCAGAGGTCAGGGTTCCAGCACGGTGAAGGTCTGTCCTCCCCCGCGCCCAGTGCTCACTCTGGCTCCCTAGCCTCTGACCCTGAAGGCCGAGGCCAGGCAGGAAGAATCTCAGCAGTCACCCCTCCAGGGACAGAGCGGAGTCAGCAGGTCAGCGCTGGGCCGAGGGGAGTGTGATTGGTGATTAGATAGGCCATTCTTTGTTTGAATTAGGGGTGGCCTTCAGGTGGCTTTTGCTGAAGAGCAAGCTGGGCCAGGTGCCGGGGGCTGCAGGTGGATGAGGTGTGATGTGGATGAGTTCCCCAGTGGCCGCTTCGCCGGGCTGGCGAGGAGGCGGCTCCCAGGCTGCCGCCTGCCCAGGTCTGAGCCCCTGGGAAGCAGGTGGAGGCTGAGGTGCCCTCGGCCGAGGGTCCTAGGGTGGAGTCCTGAGTGCACGTTTATTGTTTAAAATGTCCAAAGCCTGGGAAGAAGTAAAGATGAGAAAATGGCCGGTGACTCCACCGCGTGCAGATGAGTGTTGATGTTTGGCATTCCGGGACAATTTTCTGTGCATCTGTTCATCTCCCTGTCTGCCCACCACCTCTCGGCCACCGGTCACCCTTGCACAGTCGAGAGCGTCTGTAGCTTCAGAGTCCAGTGTGTTTCCCCCATGTGACGTCACCAGCATCTCCCAGACCGACACGAACGAGTTGGTAAGGAGTTTGACGATGGTATAGTGTTAGCTTGGTTTGAACTCATCTTTCAGTCTCAGCCATTCCTGGCCTTCCTGAGGAATGCCCTCGCCGCGCCCTCCCCGCAGCAGGGGGCCGGGGGAGCTGTCTCTGTCAGGTGCTCAGGTGCATCTGTGTCTCCTTCCCCATTGCTCATGGTGCAGGCGGCCTTTCTGAGCGTGGCCAGTGCCAGACGGCCAGAGCACATCTGCCCACCCGCCCATGTCCTCCCACGCCCGGCTCCGAGCAGGCTGGCTGTCCGCATTTCTTCAGTAAGAGAACATCATGCTTTATTTATCCCTCCCTACAGTTTCGATTATCAGGGTTATTACCACGCTTAGAAATTATCACAACCGTCACAGCATGGCATTCACAAACCTCGTTGTTTGCGAGGCCGGGGCCGACCCTGCGCCCTCGGCTGCACGGCTGCACCCGGCACAGGCCCTGGCCGTGAGAGGTCCTGGCGGCGGTGTCCCAGCTCCCTCCACCGCAGCCTCATCTGCCCTCCAGCTCGGTCACTGCTCCAGGCCAGTCCCATGGGAGCCACAGCCCCCCAGCAGGGGGAGCCTGGCGTTCCTCTGCTCTGGGCCCCTCTGGGCTGGGTGGGCAGGACGGGAGGGCCGGAAGGCTCAGCGCAGT